TATAAACACGCATGGATTAAATGCGTTAATGTTGCGCCAACGTGGAGATGAATACTTAAAGAAACAAAAAGAGGAATGAAAATCATTTGAAAAATATTATCAGTGGTGTGTAAATTGGTATCACGGATGATTGATCGAAATTCATTTTCCGTGATCCACGCAAGCAATAACAGGCAAAATACTTGCGAATTTTCAAATGCCTATTACTACTACTACTATAACTACTACTACTACTACTACTACTACTACTGTTTCGATGCGATAGAAACGCTTCAAACTATTCATTGCAGTATTACTAAATGTATACAGAATTTAAGATATACACGATCGACATTTTACATCGGACTCTATTATCTTCGTACTCGATTACGCTTATACACAACAAACACACACACACACAACAAACACGCATACACAACGTATACATCTTTCATGCACCGAAAATATACACAGAGACATTAAATTCTAGATACAGGATAAGGAAGAAGACTGTAAATAGTTAGCACGTAATTGATATTATAGGCGACGAAAACCTATTAACATCAAATTTATTTATAGTAAATTTTCCGAAACATATTTTTGACTGATATTTATTTATCAACACCATTTCCAAGATATCGATATCCTAATTTCCCGATATTTATAATCTATTATTTGTTCAATTTATTATCTATTAATTAATGAAAATTAATATTTTTGTTTTCTTTAGTTAGCTTATTTCTTGAAAAAGTCTCATGTTTCGTATTAAATATATTTTTTAACGTTATCTGTTAATTTTTAATTACATTGAACGAGATAAGTTAAGTTTAAACACTGAGGAGGGTTTTAAAAATATTTTCGAAACGTTTATTTTATCTCGATAAAATTCTATTTTTACAATTCCATTACTTACGTTTTATTTTTACATCCATGATTGATAAATATTACTACATATCGCTAATTGGTTGTAAACAAGTTCTTGAAATGTTGATTGCCATTTGATTCGTACAAAATTCAGTTAATATGAATTTAAAATTATACTCTGACGATACTGGAAATTCCAACGATATCAAATTTTTGATCGATGAAATAACAGTCAGTTGAACGATGGATAAAAATATAACAAAATATTTATTCCTTCTTTCCTGACACGTGCAAAATTAAATGTTTTTTTAATTCTGGCATATTTTTTGGCTTTATCGGACACCGATGACATTTTAATTCGCTATTTAAATACTGTTTTGATGTTGTAAAACTTATCTTTTTAAGTACCCCGTTTTCTTTCAATTGTTTACATAATTCTATGAGGAAAACAAACCGATAAGTAAATTCGTTGAAATGAGTGAACAAATCGATTAGTAAATTTGTGAAAATGAGCCATCATTAATGATGATTTACCTTTGGAATGCATAAAAAATGGCGTAGTGAAACTATTCCAATGTTGTTTAGTTTTTAAACATGGACTGTTGAAATCGGTACTAATAACATGTAAATGCATTCTTTGCATACTTGGCATAGAATGATACCCGATACTGAAAATATAAAGAAATATTAGCTACTAAGTTATGGTAAAAATTTTTCAAAAATCTACTTTGATTTTGATCGTACAGGAATTCATGTTCCGGATGTTTTTTAGTTAATTCTTCTGCAACATCGTCCATATGACGTAGAAGATTTTCATGACTCTTTGTAATTTTCCATATTGTTGAAATGTTTTCTTTCGGTAAAACTAAATAATGAAATTTTGCTTTCGGATATTTATCCTTAATGACGACTATGCTATCGTCTTCGATAACTTTAAGAGTCGGATCTTTCATGGAATCTAATAAACCTAATGACCAATGTTTCTTTTGTGATGCAATTATTGCTACGGCTTTGTTCGAATTTTTACGTTTAATTTTTCTTTCCATTATCTTATCGTTAAAAATCAATTTGTTATTATATATAAATGTACGTATAAGTTTATTGTTTATATTAATATAAGGCAGCTGAAAAAATAAATACGATTTAACAAGTTAATGTGTTGGATATAGTTAAGACAAATATTATAGTAGAATAACGTACAAGTTCTTTGCTTTAATTCGAATATAAAATCAAGTAGAAGTTTATATTATATTTGTAGGTTATGGTACAAACAATAAAAAGAGAAATAACTTTCTTACGATTGTATGGCGAATTAAAGTTCGGTTCAATCCATGCATAAATATTTTGGCATGATGTAAGACAGTTCATTTATTTAAGAAAAAAACACATTGTTAATTAATTTGACAATAATATTGAACACTTTACGTTCGAGCAAACTAAACACAATGTACACATGTCAGAAAATATACAGGAATGGCCATTGGCGTGCAGCAGTCATTTTCGTATGAATACCAAAAGTACGACAAGGTAAAAGAAATAACAAATGTTTTCTCATCGTTATGAAAATTATTAACAAAAAATACAATAAATAATGAAATGCTACTAATTCAATATAATAGATCGAATAGATTGGGAATTTTGTATTGCGGTGGTAATAAATGAATGATTGTCAATAATTTTGTATTTATTTATTTACTCAAATGGAAGGCAATCGACAAATTTGCAACAAATAAAAATAAATAACACTCTCTCTAGCAATAATTACGTGATCGGTTACTTAAAATTACGTTATTATAATAAATTCAAAGATACATAACAAAATCATTCGTATCCATCTTTCGTATGCGCATAGAAAATATGTTTTCGTTCGATTGTATTAGGTATTTTTCAATGCGATTGTAAGATTTATCATTCATGCAGCATCCTCACGTTTATATTTGAATTTCCCTTTCGTTCTTTCTCCTTTTTTATCTTGCTTTCTTTTCTCTCCCTTTACACACATAACCGGGGGATAATACACAATCTCACAAAACTCGCGCGCGCGCACTTTCATTTTATTTATCCTACCGCAAAATTTCTGTACACAGTCGTACTGTACATTTAGATTTTCTTTCCGTATTCCTCCGCTTACACTTTTTAATTATCATCTCTTTTGCTTACGCAATAAAATACGTAACATTATTACAAAGAGATTTGCTTAAACTTTTATTGCGGACTACCAGATTCACACAGCCCTGACAAAATCAATCAATCAATTAATCATCGGATAAATTCACGATTAACAAATTCGAAATTGAAACAATTAATTTGGATCGACGCATTGATAAAGGAAAAAATAGATAAAAAAAAAAAAAGCAGAAAGTAATTTCAAGGTCATCTTTCGTTGCTTCTCCTTCCTTGTAACTTTATTTTTTCGTTCCAACGCGAAAAATAGGGGTAGGGGGAGGGGGAAACGAAACAAAAAATCATCTCGTTAGTTTGAAATAGGCCTGTCGAAGTAACGAACGACGATGAATACGGGTGACTGTTTTAAATGACGAGATGATTAATGTGACGATTGCGATGATTGGTATACATTGGAGTAAATACATTTATACGCGATGGCAAGGGAAAATTTGGCACATTCGATTCTTTACGCTATTCCAACCAATACCATGTTCCGTTTGTCTCGCAAGAAAATACTTCGAATTTCCTTCGTACGATTAATTTTAAATGCACCCAACAAAATAATTAAAATTAAGTTGTTATTATTATAGTTTGACAACAGTAAGTCGTATTGTTTGTTTTTAACGTGCTCGCTACGAACGAATAGAAAGATTAATTAACAACAACAACAACAACAACAACAAGAACAATAAAATCAGTTAAAAGATTAATAGTTAAATGCACTGATTATACTTTAAACGGTTTAACGATCCCACGTTTAATCGATTTTTCACAAGCTCTTGCGATTGATTCGAAAAGAAAGTTATTCGAACGAAGAATATATTTCGTGCAACTTCTTTTCTTTCTTTTCTTTTTGCTTTTATTTTCTTTTTTTCTTTTTTTGTAATTTTATTATATTTAATATCAACGCATAAAATTACGGAACATGATAACGGTCTGAGGATCTCTGTAATTGGAGCGAATCATTGGAATGTTACGATTTTGTTGCTCCTCGATAAACACGTGGTAGTGTAAATACCAGTGCCAACGATATTTAGCCAAAACGTATTTTTCTTATTACGTTCTTACTTTTTCTTCTTCATTCGAATCTGCGTACGAACGAGTTATTCATTCTTTCCCTTATCTCGCTTCATTTTGATACTACCATTTATGTATATGCGTTTAACATATTTGATTATATGTATTTATACATGGAAAATTGTTTTAATTGAAAATTCTAAGGAAAGAAAGTTTTAGAAAAGCAGCAAGATTATCTCGATTGATTATCCGATCGATGTTAAATTTGGGGTTTTCAATAACTATTAGCACCGTTGATTTATTATAATTCGATAAGATTTTACGCACAAACGTACGATCATCAACATCGTTAACATTCATGCGTATATTGATTCATCATCGCTCGTGCGTTTTCTCTCTCTACCTCTTCTCTTCTTATTCGTCTCCTTCTTCTTACAATACATTTTATCTAGATTTTCTTTTCGTTTAATTCATAAACTCATAAACGCATGCATGCATAGCACCCATTCATACAGTTCTTTTGCAACAACTCTCATCTTTTTCTCCGCATTACCGAGGCGAGCGGCGCGATCCCGTTGTGTTGTATTTTTATTTTTTATTGTTTTTTTTTTTTTTTTGTTTAAATCGACGACAGGAAGCTACACTTGTCCTCAGTGAGGTCAGCAGCAGCAATACGCTTTAGCAAAAATTATAATGCGAATTATTTCATCTATTCGGTACAAAAAAAAAAAAAAGAAAAAAAGAAACGAACCTAACTCTTTTTTGCGTATATAATGAAAATTACTGCATTGAAAGTACGACGAACTATTATAGATGGGACACTAATTTTTATCGGTTCATTGGAAAGTTCGAATATCGAATTATAATTTTATATATATATATATATATGTATAATGAAATTAATTAAAATAATTAATTAAATATAATATTAATTTCATATATAATTTATATTATATATATTTATATACAATTCATAATGATTCATAAATTATATATAATTTTATATATGATATATTTTCTATATAAATTTAATATGCATATTAATTAATTTGATTACATTATAATTAATGAATACATATTATCATGTTATATACCGAAATATCAAAATATTGCTTTTGATTTGTAATTTTATTTTTAAATTGACACAAACTTTCCTAGTAAACCTAGTAAAAATGTCAGCCAAAGACGATGATTTTTTTTACTTGACGTACGCTATATACGATCTTACATCAAAGTATATCGTGATCCTATATCGTGATAAGCAAGAAAGATGTCGGACTTTCTAAATCTAAGTGCTTGGAATGCGGTCTTTATTGTCCTTTCGTCGAAATGATAGAATAATAAACTGCAAGCAATTTATACTTTATACCCTCTTGTAAATAAAAAAAAAAAAAAA